TATACTGCTGCAAGAGGGACGCCTCACAAGCCGAGCTTTTACAGATGAGGCCTTTTGGCGAAGCCAAGTCAATTTCGGGCCACCAAACCCTACAACTGATGAAAATGCCCTATGGTATATAGTAAAGGGAAGCGTGTACTCTCTCTCTCTCTCTCTCTCTCTCTCTCTCTCCCCCCCCCTGCGCACACACATGTGTATGTGTCTTTTTTGTAGTGTTATAAAAATCCCGATTAATCCTTGGGTGCTACCCGACCGACTAGAATGTGTCTAGCGATTAATATCTTACTACAAAATAAGTGAAGCAGTAGCAACGATGAAATTTTCAAAATTATGATATTAGTGGTATTTACGAACTTTGCTATGATTTTAGTCATATTAAAAAAAATCAATTCAAAGAATTAACAAATTATGGTCCCTGCTTAATCTCTCGATTAATTTCTGCCTAGCCGATTAATCTCTTAACCCTAGTCCACCGACCAGCTAACATCGAGCGATTTTTACAACTTTGGTTTTTTGTGGTTCTTTGTTCTCCCCAATCAATCGATCCAAAAGGCGAAGGTTTTTAGGCGAACATGTTGTGATGACAACTATAGGGTTTGATGCGATGAGTAAAGATGGTGGCGCACAAGATGTGTGAGTTTACTGTTTCTTTGCTTCGGTACCTTCTCCAACAAGGAGGCAGTCACGACCCACGTGACAGATCCAAAGAAGGCGAGGCTTTTGTAAACAATGAAGCTTTTTATGGCGACAAGGACTTCAGGTGGATTTTTTAAGGTTTTAGACAAAGATGTAAGATGGTGGTAGGTGACGGCGGCTCACTAGAGGAAGTGAATACGATGGTGGCTCAGAAATCTCGTAGTGATTGTGAATAATTATGGTGATGGTATCTAGAGAAAAGAGAGATAATAGAGAGAAAAGGATATTAGGTTAAGAGTTTAATAAGGTTGGATTGGTGGGGCTATATTTCTTTTTTTAAATTAAAAATAATAATAATAACTCTAAATTAATTGGAAAAGAAATACACAAAGAGCATTATGGTCGTCTAAGATCCGACATGGACTAAATTCGCAACAAAACTGCATATTATGGACGAACGTACAAGTTTTAAACAAAAGATGGATAGTCCGAGTTAATTTTTAAAAATAGTGATTGAACGTGCATTTTGACACCTGCACGAGGGAATATTCGTATAATTTACTATTTATTTCATGTTTTTGGATTGAGCCTTGTGTGTAACCCAATTGACATGTGTACTTATTAATAATGTCTCTAACTTGTTGTGTCCACATGTATATCTCCAACAGAGGGAACTAAGGAAATGAACCTATTAGCAAGGCTCCAAGCAACTACAAGTAGGGGGAAGCTCCCGACAATGCCATTGACAAGTCTCAAACTCAGATCATTTGTTTCATCTCAAATGCCAAACATGTCGCCATGGAACCAACTTAGCTACACCCTCAAGGTAAATGTTTATATTATAAACTTTTAATTAAATAAAAAAACACGTTTACATTTTAAATGGACTCACCGATAGCTCTCACATATATGAACTTATACCATAAGCCTTAACATTGATTCAAAAGTACATGGTATGATTTTTGTATTGTAATTTTATGACATCATTATTCTTCATGTCTTGATTTTTATATGTTACATATATGTGAATATGACGTTAGAAGTTGAACTTTTTTATACAGACGGAAATTATTGATCAACAATCAAAGTTTGATACAACGTAAAGGGATTCTTGCAGAAAATTTCTATATATATGGAAAATATAACGTATATGTAACTACATTTACACAGTTTATATTTCACTTACAGTGATTTTACAAAGTTGTCCTCAAAAACTGCACGAGGAAGTACAGAAGTGCAAGAAACAATGCCAGTTGGTATGCGTCTCTTTGAAACTCATCTTCACTTTGGAAAAACTAAAACACACATGAAGATAGAAATTCATATTAATTATCCAACGAATAATCAAAATTTATAAACATCTTTAGTTATTCATAACATTATTGCAGAAAAAAAAAAATTACCTTCAATGGATCACCAGAGGGATCTGGATAAATCTCCAAATTTTCTTTCTTTGATGAAAAGCGGCTGGACAAGTTCTTGACAGAATCAGAAAAATCTTTTGTAGATTGAACTACAGAAAACAAACGACGTGAAGCCCAGAAATATGCTTGAACAATTGTTGATGATGAAGATAAATCCCAAATCTCTTCGTGTTCAATAACTTGACCACTAATCTGATTCAATGTAAACCGAGAGTTGACTTTTAGAATCACAGGTCCTCCTACACCAGCTACAACATTTTTAGGGTTTCCTTTCAGTGTCCATTTTATACTCAATACACTTGTAGACAACATCGACATCTCCTGCACACTCTGCAATTCAACAGATTTTGGAAACGATTTCGCATTTGAAATTTTGAATAGAAATGATAAGATAACAATAGTATATGATGATCCTCACCACAGTAGGGTTATCTAGTGCATTGATCGACCATAGTGGTCTCTTTGTACTTCTCACGACCGGTAAAACTTCTGACTGGATCCTGTAGTTCATGTAAAAGTGATATTAATTTACAGTGAAAAAAAGAAATTTTGGTTGGAGATTATATGAACAAATGTAAATTTGATGATCGGATTCGGACCTTGTATTTGACTGAAACAGCATATGTTCCTAGAGCACGATTGCCATCCCGGAGTTCTAAGATGTCACGTACAAGTTGTCTAGCGGTGGCTTCAACAGCCGGACTGCTAATGCATTCGAATTCATTACAGAGCTCACCGAAGTCAATCCCGTCCACGATCTTATCAGCTTCTGATTTTCCGATTATAAGATCGGGGAGATACCTCCGTTGTTTTCGAGTCATTTGCTACTGCAGTAGATAAATTAGGGTTTGATTTCTGTTACGATCGGAATGCAGATAGATAAGGACGTAAAATTAGGAAAAGTAATAAAAAAAAATTAAACCTCGTACTGGGTAAAGACGGCGGCGGAGGGTGGAGAGGGAGACATGGTTGGTGCCGGAGCGGAGAGTGGCGGTGGCGATGGAGGGATTAAGGGAAACGGATGGTAGAGCGGAAGCAGTCGCAGTTGTCATCTCTGTAACTTCGCATTCTGCTTGTCATTTGGATTTTGATTTTTCTTTTTTCTTTTGCTGTGGATAATGTGTATTTTGTATGCTGGGGATATGGAAATGCCACGTCATCAGGCCTAACTAACTTTTTGCCACTCCATGTGGCTACGGGTTCATGTTATGGATCGCCTATTCGGGTTTAAATTTCACGTCCAATTAAGGGGTCACCATTATTCATTTCCTACCAAATTATCTTGATATGGATTTTGTGTTTGAGTTTCGGTTATTTTGATTATCTTATACTTTATTAGTATAAAAGTTCATCTGTTATATCCATCACATACCATATATATGGAGGGTCTCACATTAACATCACAATCATCTACAATAAATATGGGATACCTACCACTAACACACCACTCCACATCATTATTTTTAATTATTTTTAATTCAAAAATACAATAAAATTACATTTTTTATAATTAAAAAGCATTTATTTTTTTAAACTAGTGTTTCATTAATTATAAAAATAAAATTACAACTTCAAACTACATTACTTAGGTGCTGTTTATTTTTTCTGAGGCAAAATGTCTGCAGTCTGCGGACCACATCTGTAGACCTCTGCAGTAGAAGAGGTGGATCAAACGTCTGCAGTCTGAAAAAAGAAGACTGTTTGTTTTTTTAACATCTGCGAGCTATTAAAATAAACTGAAATCTAAATAAACTGATTTTTTAAAACTTCAAAGCGAATTTTTTATATATTTTTACGACTTTATTATAAATATATAACGAATCTAGATCAACTTTTATGTATTATTATATAAAAAATAAAAATAAAAATGGTATTAATTCATATACATATTTGATAAAAACCAACAACTTTGATTGCAAAGTTATAACTAAACATTATAATTAGTGATCAAAGAATTTGTACATAAATAGATGGAAATAAACTTCGATTTTTTCAAATAAATCTATTAAAAACGTACGATAAATATTTTCTCGAGAAATTGATGATACTCTATTAAATAAAGTTTTACAAAATTTTGGCAAAAAAATATAAGAATATATTTTGTTTTTTTTTTCATATTTATATAAACAATTTCAACGATTATTATTATAATAAATTTTTATTTATAAATTTGCTAAAAATATCATGTTTGTATCGTCAAATGTTTTTTTTTAAGTTTTGTAATTTTTTTTTTCATATTGTTTATCATTAATAAAGTTGGAAAAAATATAAATTAAAAAAAAAAACTTAAAAAAAATAAAGATATATATGTTTTTTTAAGCTAGAAGATGTCTGAAGATGTTAGAAGACTCTGGTCCACATCTGCGCCAAGAAGAGGGCGCGCAGACATTTTTAGGTCTGCAATCTTCAAAAAAACAAACAGTCTGCGAAGACTAATGTCTGCGCGTGGTCTGCGCGGCGCAGACAGAAGACGTCTCGCAGATCTACAGACAAAAAACAAACACTACCTTAGTTAATTTAGAAAAAAAAAAATACATTAATTAAAAAAACAAAGAAACATACATATAAAAAACATAATCGTCTGCGACATCTTCTCGAAAATTGAAACACGTTTCACTGTTATGAATTTCAACAACTCGCTTTAAAAACGCATTCGTTCCGGGTACGAACTCCTCAATTGGAACGACAACGTCGTTCGGATCATACGTGCAAATCGTTCAACATTCATCTTCGATAATCATATTATGCATTATAATACATGTTAAGACCATTCGTTTAATTCTTTCTTTATCCCAGAGTCGTGTAGCATATTTCACTACATGTCATGTCTGCTTAAGGACTCCAAATGCCCTCTCGATATCCTTTCTTGCCGATTCCTGTTTTTTTGTAAAAAAACTTTGCCTTTTCACTTCGAGGAACTGAGTATGCCTTCATCAATGTATAATAATCCGGGTATATCCCATCACCAAGGTAGTAGCCGCGTTTGTACGCGTGCCCGTTCACCGTGAACGTCATATCAGATGTTTTGCAGGTCCACATATCGTTGAAAAGTGGAGACTGGCCAAGAACATTAAGATCGTTGTTAGACCCCGCTACTCCAAAAAAGGCATGTCATATCTACTAATCTTGAGATGCAACAGTTTCCAGGATAATAGTTGGTTCACATATATCTCCTCGAGTGAACTGACCACGTCATGCAGTTGGACATTTTTCCCAAGCCACGTGCGTACAATCTAGACTGCCAAGCATACCCGGAAATCCATGCCCCTCTTCATGAGCCGAATATAATCTCTCAATATCACATTGAGTAGGTTTGCGCAAATATTCTTCGTGAAAAACCTCATAAACACATGCAGAAAACCAATCTATATATTCAACTGCAGTCCTCTCGGATACTTTCAAGTATTCGTCAGATGCATCGAATGTTATACCGTATCCAAATACCTAAGAGCAGTAGCCCATTTTTGTATACTACTAAAACTCATTCTTCCTCTAGCGTCAGGTTTTTGTTTGAAAAAATCATAACGACATTCTAAAGCATTACTAATACGTAAAAATATAGCCTTATTCAAACGGAAATGACGTTCAAAGGAGTCGTCATTATAAAGACAATTATCGGCAAGTAATCACGTACCAATAAGTCGTGTGCAGCTTGGCGATCACGATTGACGACCGCCCTTGTACGAGCTGCATTCGAACTTTCTTCGTCGTGAATGTGTTGCACAACGTTGAAAAATGTGTCGACGAATTCTACGTCGTCATCCGAGTCAAAAGGTTTTAGAAATTCAATATGTTTTGTGGAATCCATGTATATGTGTTTTGTGGTTGTAGAGAATGAAGATTAGAATGAGGTCTAAGTTTTGGTAAAAATAGAAGGTCTATTTACATCATATGTTTGGTAAAATAGCCGTTCAATTGCCAAATAAACTCACATTCAATCATGTTTTCCATTTGATTTCGTCGTCGGGAGCACGGATGAGCATGACCACGCCCGACCACGGAACGTCGGGTGGTGTGCACGAAAAGTTTTTGTGGCCAGCTAGACCACGGATTGTTTCATGGTATGTATACCACAAGGTCTAATATTTATTTGACACTTAGCTATCATTTGAGTTATTCATCAATTATATATAGCATAAATATAAGTAAAGATAAATTAATCAGTCCTTTAACTTTTTAAAAATATTTAGGCGAACACTTTTACTTTTTTTCAGATAATGGGCTGAGAAATGGTTATGTGGGTTGTGAAATGATGCCCCGTGAGTAGTTGTCTACTCATCCATTAAAAATCTTCATTTTTACATCATATGTTTGGTAAAATATTTCTCAACTTAACATTTCATTTTAGTAATATGAAGTTTTCGTTTATTAAAAAAATGGTCTTTGAAGATTTTTAAGATAAAAAGAACCACAATTTTCACATGTGAACAGTAATTTCACATGTCACACCACAAAAGTCTAAGTTTTTAGGCCTTTTAATTAATTTTACTCCTCTAATATCAATTTAATCAATATTTTTACTTTTGATTTGATATTATTCTTTTTCTTTTTCTTTTTCCTTATTTTTCTTTTTTTCCCTTTTTGTTTTTTCTTTTATTTTATATTTTCTTATTATTATTATTATTATTATTATTATTATTATAAATTTCGATAACCATCTAAATTCGGACAACATTTTAAAATTCCGACAACATTATAAATTCGGCCGACATTATAAAATTCGAACGACTATATAAAATGGAACAAAAGTAAAATTTGTTTTCAATCCGCATAATGTACCACGCAAATGTAATAACGAACCAATTAATATATCTGTAATAAATAAAGATAAACTTTATTTTTGTTCCGTTTTATATAGTCGTTTGAATTTTATTATGTCGTCCAAATTTATAATGTCATCCAAATTCTAAAATATCATCTGAATTTTAAAACATTGTTCGAATTTTATATGGTTATCGAAAATAATAATAACAATAATAATAATAATAATAAATAATTAAAAACAACAAAAAAACAAAATATGGAAAAAACAAAAAAACAACAAAAGAAAAAAAAAAGGCACATCAATAGGGTGGGATTGGAAAATGATGAGGGGTACTTATAGAAAAAAAAAACCTTTTGGAATTAAGTGATTCTATGATAATTTATCGACATAAAAATAAATATTTTATTTTATTAATAAATTAAAACAAAAGTTTTGAATTAAATTCCGCATTGAAAATTCATATCATGTAGGTGATGATTTTAAGTTTGTATTTTTTTATTGTTTTAATATTTTCTCAGAAGCATTTTTTAGTGTTGGAAATCGTCATTTTCCATATCTAGAAATAACGTTATTTTGCGATGACCATTTCTCAGTAAGCAAATGGATCTATTTTTCGTAGTGGCAATCTTTTGGTGTGTAAACTGACCACTTTAGAGTACCATTTTGCGAAATAGTTATTTTTCACACTTTAAATGACTATTTTGTGTAGTGGGTTCATTTTCTCTTTACTTGATCATTATTTATGTATGACAAATTTTAGACGTTTAAGTTGTTAGTAATTCAGAAAAAATCTCACTTATGTAAATTTCGTCGTGTGTCAGGTGTTTGAGTGGAGATGTATGTATTGAAAATTTGTGGTAGTTTCGAAAATTGAAAGTTCAAATGCACATAAAGCAAACAAACATGAGTAATTCGGTTCATTAATGTCCCTGTTAGAATTTCCAAAATATGTTTGGAACAACCCCGAAAACAAACTCATATGGCATTGATTATTGACGGTTTTGTTGTTGTGCAATATATTGAATTAGAAAGATTAAGAATATATGTAATTTATAAACTCAAATATAGTTAGTGTAAAATAGTTTTAAAATAAATAAATAAACATGAATAAGTGTTGGGAATTAGATGATTAATTCTAATCAACTACATATATATATATATATATATATATATATATATATATATATATATATATATATTAATATTGATGTGTAACACCTCCAATTCCAAACCAAAATTTTCATTTTTTAATTACCCAAAATATTGTTCATAAACCAAATCATTGGAAAATCACAAGTATCAAATACGAATCCTCATCACAAATATCAAAGTGCTACAAAATGTCCATTAACAAAATCTCCCAACGAGTGTGTACAATCATACATTCACTTTCCCGCAATCCTCAAAAGTACATGAAAAACATATAATAAACAAATGTAAGCATAAAGCTTAGTGAATTCCCCAAGATATCTCATACGGCAAAACACATAAACAGTTACAGG